CTGTCCAGCAAATCCCAGAAGCAAATTCTGGCAAAAATAATAGTAGGCTGAGTAAGACACAGATTAGTTCACGCAGTCCAGCAATGTCTACAGAGAAGGATAGCATAAATAAAGACAAACCAACCGATAAAAAGACCACTGCAGTAATAAAGCAGGTCCATTCATCAGAAAATGTTATGGACAATGCCTGTGAAACATCAAGCCCAACTTTGGCTAAAACCAAGACTGTGATAGATAGAAAGGATAGGGCTGGTAGCACCAAAGACTTCCTTGACATCAATCCAGAGCATCTTCAAGATTTGAAGGAAAGCAAAACATCTAGCAGAGTAAAATGTTTGGACAAAAACGTAGATTCTACACTGGGAGACAGAACTGCTGGTACTCCAACCTCAGGTGCTGACTCAGGGCAGGCTAAACCAGAGATATCCATCAAAGAAACAGCACCCATCCCGCAGAGTCTATCTTTAGCTTCCTCTGTCACAACATCCACGGTGTCTTCTGTCTCCACCCCATCAGATGCACCTGAGACCACTATTGTTAAAAGCTCATTGTCTAACCTTCGAAGAAAAACCACTCCATCTGCCATTGCTGCCCCATTGAAAGACATGCCAGCTACTGATTCAAAATCCAAAGCCATTGCAAGCACCACTTCACAACTTTTTGGGTTGGCTGAAGTAAAAACAACCACCATCCAACCTCCACAGTCTGATCAGACTTGTGCCAAAATTTCAAGCTCTGTTGGCTTGGAAAATGGGCAGACAGCAAGTATTTCCGCTCAACTCTCCAAACAAATCTCAGACAGAACACAAAAATCCGGTGCATCAAGTGGTAGCAGAGAATTCAGTGTGCAAACCCATCAGTCTCAACAGAGCTTAAACAAAAATCAACATGCAGACAAAGTAAATGCAGAGAAGGCAAGTAGCCAATCCAATTTAATGGTGAAGGATCTTAAAACCCTGCCAGCATGTGGAGACAAAATGGACCCGAGAGACAAAATGGCTTCTAAAAAGGACTCTAAATGCAGTATGAGTGAAAAGGTTACTTGCGCCTCTAACCCTTCAGTCAACGCTGAAGTTTCAGGAAACTGTGAAAAGCAGGAAGCCATCTTCAGAAGCCAAGTAATCATGAATATCACATCAATGGACACGGGTGCAAGCCCACCAAAGACTAGAAGTTGTGACACTTCAACAAAAGACACTGTGCATGTGCAATCTGCAATTAAAACAGAAGAAAAAACTAAATCCAAGAGTATTTTTGATGTAGACAAGAAGGCCGAGAAGCAAGTTATGGACATGTCCATGACAGAGACAAGTACAGCACAGACTGCAATAAAACAGACGCAACCATCTGGTAGTGCTACACTAAAACAGACCCTTTTGAATTCCAAAAACAAGCCCCGAGTAGACTCTCCGCTTGTTACGCAGTCTTTTGAGAAGGCAATTGAAGATAAGGGAAAGCAGGAAAACATAGCACAGCTACAGCCTATTGTCAAAGATAGCATAGTAAAACCAAAGGAGCTAAGAGAGTCAGTCTTGTCTACACCTAAATCTCAGCCTCATAAAGACACCCGTACTGGTTCTCAATGTGGCTCTGTGCCAGTGTTACCTGTGCCAGCGGTTCAAATCCATGTGTCTTGTGGACTTCCTTCTGGTAAGGGCAGCACTGCTGTAGTTGAATCACTTGGACCTTCCTCAAAGGAACAAGTGAAGTCCAGAATTGATGTTCTAAGATCAGAGTCTCTCAAGGGCTCCAGCACAAGTGATCCCATAGGGACAACTACTACTACTATATCCAGTCCTGACCCTAAACATGCCTCCAGTGAGTCAAAGGATACTGATAAACAAATTTCGTCCAACCGAAAAGAGCAAGTGGAAAAGAAGAGAAAGGAACCTACTCAAGATACATCGTCAGCACCCAAAACTAACCGCAAAGACTTGTCAAGAGGCATGCCTTTGGCAAAGGATAGTACTACTATTGAAAAAGATTCAGTCCGTCCTAAACAAACAAAGGATACACCACGTGGTTCAACTTGTGAAAAGTGATGTATTGTATTGTATTGTAGTTGCCAAGCGTATTTAATTTTAAAAAAGACTATGAGGATGTAAACATAATTTTTGTCTATATGTAATATCATGAACCCTTTCTATCTGAGGACCGGTGAAGCTGTTACTTTGGGTTTTCGTGGAGATGCATTTGTTTGTTTGTGTTGTGATCTATCATGCTCCGTTAATATTATGTCTAAAAAAAGTGTAGGCTGAATGTTGACTTGTTTTGCTGCTGATTTGTGGTCTTGTTTTAGATCTCGCAAAAGCGCCAAAATTAGTCATTGTATTGTGTTGCGATGTAATGTAACGTGTGGCGTGTGCAATAATTGGGGAGACGGAGTGTAGATGCCTTTTTAAAGGATTAAATTAACTGTGCCAATCCTGGTTCAGTGTAATTGTACCAAACAAAGAGCACCTCAAATTTAGACATGAAGGTGCATGTTAACTGACTGTGTAAAAAAAAAAAAAAAAAAAAGAAGCTTCACGCTTATTCAGACTAGTGTTATTATGTATTACACTGGTTTTTGATGTATTTTAAAACCACTAGGAAAATATATGTAGCAATGGTGCTATTGATGTGGCTTACATTCTGCAAGCAGAACAGATCACTTATTTTATTTTCCTCACTTATTGTTTTTTTTTTTTTTTGTGATCTTGTCAGCAAAGTTTTGTTTTGGGTAGTGGTGCACAGAGGGAAAGCACGTTGTCCTGCGCTTCTCACCTGGAACTATTTTATATTGGAATCATCTTATGGTTCTGGAATCGTACTGGAAGGGGCCTTAGAGTTTTTTGGGGAAATATGACTTGCTGTTCTTTGCAGGTCATGGTGAAATTCACATTCCTTTCACATACATTTGTAAGGATTCATTTTTATGCAATATATTGTAAATACAGCAGCATTAATTGTACAGAGGGGTCAGTTGAAAATGAGTGTTGTATGTTTTATATGTATATATTTTGCTATGTCATATTATGTTTGTATACTGTACTAAATGTTAGTCTCCTAGTGATGTTATCTGCTCAGTAATTGTGCTGATATAGAGTCTAAACTAGCAGAATAATGATAGTCTCACTCTGAAATGAAGTGTACCTGAAGTTTCACTAAGGTATGTAATGCTTAACCACATGCATTTTCAGATATGTATTTTAAGTGATGCAGCAGAATTGCTCTCAGAATGTTCATTATACTTGATGCCACTAACAAGGAAATCATGCATTTACATGAAACGGACAAGGCAGATGTAGCACACTATATAAAAGGCAAGTTTCAGAGACTGAAGGATTACCCCATGATTAAGGTTTGCTAAATGTCAAGCTTTTAGGGCTAACACTTGGCATACAGGAACATGATGCATTTCCCCTGGTTTGGTTAAAAGGGCTTAAACGGGGATAATCAACGTGTTTTAGCAACATGTCAGGGCTGGTAGTCAGCACTTGTGGTAAATGTCAGGAGTTTCACTGCATGTTCGTTCTTCATGTCCAATCATATTCATATTTCTTACATATTCATATGCAAAGTTCAGCACTTACAAATGGGGATTGTGTAATACTTTACTAAATGCATTTGTGCTATTAACATCTCTAGTCACGCAATAGGACTGCTAAGCGCATTTCCTGCACTTTTTACCTTCAAGACCTTTTTGTGCTCAAACTTTAAAAATCATATTTGTCATTAGTTGTGCTTGATTTGACCTTTAAGCTGTTGAATAATGGCCACTGAAGTTTAGCATCAGAACAGAGAAGAGGATGAATCATTGTGTCTTTTGATAACATTTGGTCTGAACTTTAAACCTGCTATAGCTCTGCTGGTGTGCATACATCACGTACCAACTTAAAGTAAAGCGACTGTGTATCTAGGCAAATTTCAGTAAACTTATATTGTGAAACATCTAGGCTGTATTACCGTATGATATTGAAGTATTTGTGATTAATGTTTTATGTAAACAGTATATATCTGAGCTGAACACACAGATCTGCATAAGTAACTAAACAACAGAATGAACCGTGTAAAGAGAATCTATAATAAAAAGATTTTTAGCGATTTTAAAGTGCATTAGCAGACTGATGTTTCAGTTCCTTATAGGCTTTACAAATGCAGCTTAGGAGGTCTAAAGAGCTACAAGACACCTTAAGATTAAAAACACAACTCTTATTGGGGAAGAGATTCTAAGCAAACATAATAGAAACTTTAATGATAAAATGTGAATGTTTTATAGGACATATGCATTGTCTGTTCTCCAATATCGATAGTATTGCCATGAATTAACCACAGACATTCATGTTGTTGGTGTTTCTTTCCCTTCTTCCCTTTTCTGACGTAAAAGGGAAATAATGTTTAAATCCTTTAAGAAGCACATTAAATGTTTGTTTACAACTACTTCATGGATGTATATTTTGTACATTTGTGTTATTTGCCAGTTATGCTGTGATCGTGTGTGTGTGTGTGTGTGTGAGTGAGAGAGAGAGAGAGTTCCTCTGTTCCGCTGTTGAAGACCATTGGTGTGGTAGCCTAATGTTGTCCTTCTAGTTCAGTATGTTCTTGTTTGTTTTCTGGAGTTTTCTTTTCTCTCTCTATGTGTGAAAACAGTGTTTATGTAGATGATTCTGCTTATCATTGTCTTTTAGGATCTGTGCAATAAGAGATGTGGTTTTGAGTGTTGTACATCACCCACAGAAAGCTCTATGGATGTCATAGATGTTATATACTAAACAAATATTTATACTTCTAACGTTGTATAATACTGAAAATAAAAAGGCATGTCAAAATGACCTTTTATTGCATTTTATTGTCTTTTTCCTTTAAAATTACTTGAAAAGACTTGAAATCTCCATAATCAAGGAAGTAGATTTAATGAGACTGCAAAAAGAAAACGAAGACAAAGATTTTAGTCTTTTTTTTTCGTCAGTTTTTCAACATATAATGTTGATTTCCAACTTAAAGCAGATGTCCCATGTTTTATGTTTATGTAGTCTGCATTTGGAGGGAGACCAAACAAACTCTTAATTTACAGTTGGGAATATCTTGAATATTTTCTAATTCTCCTGACAAGGCAGAAAATGGCCAATGTAATTAGGATTGCTACTAGAATTATAACAAATGCAAGTACAACAACAGGTAATTCACACTGAAGTTCAGCATCAATAATCCTTGTTCCTGTGCCATTACAAGTGGTCTCCATTAAGTGTTTTACTTTGATTTTGTTTTTTATAACCCAGTTGATAAACGCAAAGTTGCTACAGTTGCACACCAAGGGATTGTAGCTCAGATCAACAGTACTGTTATTTCCCAGATCCATAACGCTTCCAACATCCACTGTCACAATGGCATTACTGGCATAGTTAAGTTCGAGAAAATGCAGGGAGTAAAATACAGAGGTGCTCAGTTTGACCAACTTGTTTTCACTCAGGTCTACTTGCCTGAGATGCATGAGACCTTTAAACAAGTTCTCTTCAAAAGCAGTTATTGTGCATGAAGATAGAATGAGGGTTTCCAAAAGAGGGACATGTTTAAAGAGCTCTGTCTGGGTAAGAACCCCTCCTTGAATTGTGTTCCCCTTCAAATTGAGGAGTTGCAAATTCTTCAACCCTTTGAAAATGTGCACGTTTGTCAGACTGGTATTTGACCAGGAAAGATTTAGAGTTTTGATATTCTGTAGATTGCTAAAAGGTGAGCTGTCATTCAAAGTGTAGTATGAATGGCTGAAATCCAAGTGCTCCAACTGTGGAGTTGCACTGAAAGGCTGTGAACTCCAGAGCATTTGTGAGCCATAGCTGAGATTGAGGAGCTTCAGTTCACTCAGACCAAACAGCTGGTCATTACAACAAGGTCCCCTGGGATTTACTAAACTAAGACTGAGATCCAGCTCTTCTAGGATTCCAAGATGCTCCAAGCATTTGCTGCTAAAATTGAGTTGCTTTGAATTCCCACTCACGGACAAATGCGTAAGCAAGGGAAAGTTTCTGGTGTTGATGTTGCAGACATCTTTAAAGCGGTTCTCATCTAGCACCAGATGGGACAATGTAGATGGGCCAGTCATGTTAAATTGTAATGAATCCAGGTGGGCTCTAGTAAGGTCAAGCTTTTTAATCCATTCAAGGCAATCAAATGGGAAATTATTTAGGTCTGAGAAATGCTGAAGCTGGAAATCCAGGTCAGTAACAAAGATCGTGCACAAAGATTGTAGTGCAGCTGATGGTATGTACACATTTGGATCGGTTTCATACAATCCCAGGTTCAGTCTGTTGGTTTTAAGACCTTCAAGCCCTTTCAGTAGGGAAGAGAAGTCCATCTTGCTAAGGCAGCCACTGAAATCAAGACTACTCAAGTTCAGTGACTTAAACGCACCTGGTTCTATATTGACAAAATCGTTTCCTTTGAAGCTGATGCTCATCCCGTGCACATTACGGAGTGGTGCTAAATCATCCTCTCTTATCCGGTCAATGGAGTTCATGTCCAGCTGCAGGCTGTGTAAGTTCTGACAGTGAAAACTGCTTAGTCCATCTAATGAGCGAATTTCACTTCCCCCAATGTCCAGAACCTCCAAATATGCAATATTATCTGATGGGATGTCTGATAGGCTTTGTATCTTTGACTGAGCAAGGCTTAGATATTTGAGTGCTAGAGGTCCAGAAAAAGCTCTTGCTGCGATGAACACAAGTGGGTTTCCGATTAGGATAAGGGCCGCCAAGTCAGGCTGATATTTAAAAATGTCTTCATACATGAAAGTGATGCCACATCTGTGAGTTATAGGGTTAGATGTGAGAAGAAGAAACATTAGATTCTCTGATGCACAATTTTACACAGTTCATCTTGAAATACAAGTTGTTTTGCTCACCTTGTCAGGTCTAAATAATTCAAGCTCGTTAGCCTCTGAAAAGTAAAGTTGTATAGGGCAGGAAGATAGTTGAAGCTAAATTTCAAAATTTGGACAGAATTTGGTATCTCATCTGGAATGACATGTAGGTTCATATCACTACAATCATAGCCATTTGCTACCTGGAAAAAACAAAACAAAACAAAAAAAACTGAAACAAATCATTAGTGTTACATCGAACACTGAAACATACAGGAATATAAAACATAATATAAACAGTATATTAATTTGTGGCTCACTTTTGTCTGTAATGTTGAAGATCACACAAAATAAGCTACCATAAATGTACCTGTTGACACTGTCTTCTAGCCCATGGTGTTGCTTCGTTATGCAGTAAAAGGTGAAACAGAATAGTGTAAAATAACGTGTAGAAAACGAAATGCTTCTCCATAGTGTACAGGACAAAAAGAGAACAGTGTCTCCTCTTCATTCAAATATATATGTAAAATAGAGGAACTTCACGTAAAACAAGAAGTGTTCAACTGTAACTTCCCTTTATGTCAACAATGATTTTCTGTATGTTTAGAGGCCCACAGGATATCACTGTGATGAAGTACAGAAAACAAACATGCCATTTTAAACTTTGGGAAGTGCCATTTTACCTCTTTTGGTGAAGTAGATCGGAACTTTCCAAAAATCTGTTTAGCTTTGTTTTGTGTTTTGTTTTAATCCTGAAGGGTAATTGAATATTTAGAAACAATTTGTGTGAAAAAAGTACCTAACCCTTTGAATTGAATTAAATACATTGCATCTACGATTGTGACTGGATCCAATGTGTGTCCATTTCGTACATCACTTTCAACCAGATTATCTTCACGTATGCCAAACTATTTGTTGACTATTTGTTTAACTATTTGTTGTAGTACAGTATTACAGGACATTATTTGCATTGACCTTTAGCTGCATTATACCCTCAAAGAGAAAATCAAATATTTTGGGTGTGCCTTCTTTATATTTGCTTTATACCATAGTCTGCTTGAATACTCTATTCTGATTGGTTGAAAGGTGTTCAGGTAGTTCCAGTCCGATTAATCACCATTCTAAATGTTCGTTGGAACTGGGTACTGACTTGTGGAATCATATTGGAACTGAACACACACCAATCCAGTGTCCCTCTTGAAGCCTTGCAATAGAAACAGCTTTCCTGTAGGGGGTGTTATTTTGCTGTCTTTGCTCTCCTCTGTAATAGGGTGAAAAATTGTGATGTTGGTAGTTATGCAATCCTTACATCCAATTGAGAGATAAAGGCGACACTCATTATAATGTACGTATAAATAGAAATAAATCTTTTTCAGATTATAGAGTCTCAGTGGGGCCAGAGGATTACTCGGTTTTCAAATCCAAATGTTAGTACACAGGACATGACTCCAGATAGGATTTAATGACTTCCTGTATGTCTAGTGTGGACCACCAATTGCTTTAATGGATTTGTATTGATATGTGCATTATATAATTATGTATTTGGCACAATTCATGTCTTTATTGATTATCTTCACATATATAATTTATATAATTGCTAATTTCTCTGTACAATCCCTAGTATTATTTCTCATCTTTATTACTAGTTTACAAAACATCTACCTGGATGGCTGCTACGGTTTCATTACTAGTTAATCAAAAAGAGCTTCAAAGAGACTATTCTAGCAGCAATACTATTAAATGAGTATTGTGGACAGTCAGCGTAAACGTTAAGGTTGAATGTTTCAGATGTCAGTGTTAATAAAAAATTCAAGGAAGCTGAAAAAGGGAACTGTGGAAATTATGTATTGATGATCATCTGCATTATGACGTTTGACTCATAAGATTTGCAAAAGTGGTGATTTTCCCAAAGCCACTTTTATTTATCACATGAGCTGGTTTCAAGTATTGGGAAAAATAGTGGATTCTACCAGGAATGTGTCAGTAAAACAACACAAGTCTTAAAAAAAAACTATAAAAATAAAAAAGTAATAAAAATACCGTAACAACCATAATATCCACCAAACTTGTGGAAATTCCATAGTTATTTTTTGCAACAACTGTCTTTCAATTTCAATTTTTCAGTTTCAAGATCCTTTCCTAGTATTTACTGAATTAACTGTGGTATTTTAACAGAATCTGTAGCTGCATGGTCTGAGATAAATAAATATATATAT